CAGCGGATTCTGCGTCTCCTCTACCCTCTCTAGCAGTCACTGTCACCTCTGACACCCCTACCGTACTATCCGCTGGTGCCTCGGAGATTAATTTTGGTTCTATGAACTCTCCAAACTGCATTTCCCTGAAACCATCATCTTTCCCTTTCTTTTCAAAAGCCAGGCATCTCAAATTTGGAATACTGGGTTGCTTGATCGTCATCACCATCATCATCTTCAGGGACAGGGGGGGGAAGTTCAATGGGGCTGCCTCATTTTTTGGGTAAGCTGAGAGGCCCATAAAATTTTCTATGACGGCTGTGCGGTACAGCGGATTCTGCGTCTCCTCGTGGCCCCAGACAGGTCCAGCTGCTTGAAAGCAATGATCGCCCCGGGCGGGATGGCAGTTTGGGTTGGGTATTGTGTACATATGGGCATTTGGTTTTTTTGTCGTCTCTTTCTTCCTGTCGTCATAGAAACGATTCCCAACTACCTGCTCTATTCCATATATCCAGCCTTGCATAGACCGAAACTTGGAAACAGAAGCTTCATGTTCTAACGCATTCTTCTACTACAACGCTACCTGTATCTGTCGCGACACCCCATGTTTCCTCTACTCTACGCATCATAATCCAGCACTGTCAAATCCCGCCCGTCATTGTTTCTCGTCCATAGAGAGACAACGTGTTCTAAAAAAAATATACCTTAGATATCCAGGCGAGCTTCCAAGAACGATTTCCGATGCGATAAGCATCCAAAGATGTCTTAATCTCCACGTGATATCAAACCCCTCCCCGCTCTACACTCATGAATAACTTGGAAGACCACGGAAAATCCGTTTAAATGATGTCCCTTATTTTTTAGTCCTATTACGGGAGATGATATGAATACTCCATTGCTCGGGGCGGGAGTTGGCAACAACAGAGGTGTCGAAGGGGGAAGTTATTCGCGGAGAAAAAGAGGTGGGCGATGACATGTACCATCCATCATCCATGGGAAGCCCGGTTGGTTGATGGAGGGAAAGTGATGGAGTACCCAAACAGTGAATGTAAATCCGTCGGTGAATGCAAGGTAATGTTACACGTATGTACATACTCTGGGCGTTTGCTGCTGGAGTTCAGTGGTTCCGTAAACATGATATTGCAATTATGACCGTCAACCTCTTGATATGACTGAGGAGGGTGCAATGGTGATTATTTTGAAGAGTAGGGAGTAAAGTATTGTACATACATATATTCAGATATCAACCGCAATGAGAGCAATGAGAGCAGCCTAGATAGATAATGCATTTGAGGTTAATATTTCCGCCTCATTTACCGAGGATGCAAGATTTGTTGGTACTGAAAGCAGGAAATCTATGAAAAGTGGACAGGGCGTGGCATGGCATGGCATGGCAGAGTGCCTAAGAACCAGAGATCCGAGTGGCTGAATCAGGTATTCGCCGGATACGTACTACTATACTTGGGGGTGTGTGTGCTGCAATAAGTCGGGTGAGCACAGAATAACGGGACTGCGGAGCACGCATCATTATTGGCAAAAGTGGCTGGTTCGAGGTTGGACCAATACCTAGTTACTACATAACTCGGAGAACAGCGAGTTTACATAAAGGAAGACAAGGAGAGTCGTTGTAACTGGCTAACTTGGTTCAACTTTGGAAAAGGGGCTGCGCTTAGTCAGAAGCTCTGGTAAAACTGCACTAGACTACATATGGACTAGCAAAGATACCAGCGCCATTTGTACTTGCCCTTAATAAATGCATCCAATCCATGCTGCTTACCCGTAGTTCTTCTCCAAGGGTTTTGCTGTGTGTATCGCCCGATACGACAATACCAGCCAACCGGTTCCCACCAGCATGTATTAGGTAACAACCCGGTTTAGTAAGGCCCCTTTTCCCCTTAACCTAACTTGTTCCCTAGCATGTTGCTGCTTGCTGCTGCTTGCTGCTGCTACTGCTTGCTGCTACACGTCCGTCCCCCTTCGCCCTTTCGCCCTCCCACGCAAAAAACCCACGGCAAAACCCAAAACCAAAACCCAAGGCAAACCCAACCCCATCCGCATCCCATACTTTATTTTGTCGTAATCATAATAAAACACCCAGCCAACTTCGGACAATGGAACCCTCAGCCCGCGCCTGGCTACGGCGCCCATCACTTCTACTACCACCACCACCAACTCCCACCACCACCACAACAGATATATTATTATCTCCCTCGCCCGCGCATCCACCTTGATCAACCTGCCGCTATCACCCACCACTGGTGTATTCACAGTCACCATCGCCGCTGAGCCTGTGTACAATCCCCAACACCAACACCAGCACCATGGCAACACGCTAATATAATAAAATAAGCAACACACGAAAGCTTCCACTCACCAGTCTCGCCTCCGTGGCCCGTGGTCCCCGTCCCCGTCCACTCAACTCAACTCAGCTCAACTATAATAATAAATAACTCACTTACAAACAACTCTCACCACCAGCCTCGCCAATTCTTTTTAAAAACTTTCCCCCCATTTTCTGTTGTACACAAAGAACCAACAATCCATCCACGGTCGTCCGACACCCTTTTGCCATCCAGCCAGGGTCTCCCCTATACCATCACCATCATCATCATCTCACCCGACTACGCATTACAAAGGGGGAAAGAGAAAATTCACAAAATATTCCATAGAGACTGGCCTCTCTCCATCTCACAAGCCAACACCATCACCAACACCAACCACCACAACCAACAATAACAATGGCATCATCATCCGAAAAAATACCCTCTACATCCCCATCTACCTCCTCACCTTCTTCCTCCTCCTCTTTCGCAAGCCGCTCACTGAAACCCTCCTCCAAATCCTCCCAACTTCTCATCCTCAGACTCTCCCCTTCCCTCCTCTCCCGTTTCCCTGGCTCGACACCCCCAGACCCCACCTCCACCGCAGAAGATAAAAATTCAAAGTCTTCCTCATTCTCTTCCCCGTCCAACACAGCCACCGCTGCTGCTGCTGTTGCTGGCACTACAACCAACACCGCACCTGTACCAGCAGACAACGCTTCAGACGCTGCATCAGCATCTACTCCCACCCCGCAATCCGATGCGCAGAAACGCAAAGGTGTCCCCGGACCCAAACCGGGGACCAAAAGGGGACTAGGACAGGGTGTTGGAGGTGATAACAATGGTAATAATAATACGACGATGACTCCAAAACCGAGAGGGAAGCCTGGGCCGAAGAAGAAGGCGAGATTGTAAGTTGTTCGTTTATTTCTTATGTTTCCTTCTACGGATTCGTGGGAATGGAAGGGGTGGATATTCCACAACACTCTGTCTATCCCGTCGATGAACTCCCCCCCAAGAAAACAAAATTTCCCGTTCCCCATTATCTTCCCCTCCCCTCCCTTCTCCCACAAAAAAAAAAAAGATTATATAGTTTTCCCTTCCGTTTTTTTTTAAGAGAGGGGGGGTAGGTTCCATTGTGCCCCTCCACAACA